TGATGTAATTATTTTGTATTCTCAAAACTTTTGATTCAATGAATTTTAAGGATTTTGGGACCTTATTTTCAACCATTATTCACTTTCAGCAGCTGCAGAACATCCAGGTTGAGGAAAAAAAGCTAAACGAGGGTTGGAAAAACTTGAATTTAATGAAAAATTAAGAATTTAGATCACGATTGCTCTAATTAATCGAAAGATGTATATGTTGACGATATTTGTTGTCATTAGAGCATTGAGTGGCTGATTTTTCTCTTAATCTAAAGTAGTCATAAACTGATTCTTGAATTAGAGCATGTTTGAGTCATTTATTTGAACTTAATATTAGTTTTGTTTACTTAATCTTATACTTATTTGTCCATTCAATGCTTGGCCATCATTGAGCATGAATTTGGGAATTTGGGTTTTGCCCTGGAAAAGAAAAATCTAAATTAGATTATTAGATTGAGTAATGTGGAATTAAAATTTATTCTAATTTGCCAATAGGATAGGAATATACCCATTAGACTCATATAATCACATTAAAGTGAGTTTATGCTTTTTTGCCTCTTGAATGTTTGTGTTAGGAATAGCATATTTAATTAAAGAGATAGATGTAACTAATTGAAAGATAATTAATCTTATGAATACTCTAAATTAAAAAATTAATATTAAGTGAATTTATTTGATTAATTACATGCTCTATAAACTGAAGGGATTAGTCATTATAGATTGCCTTGATTATTTATGGTTATTAAAACTTTTATTTTAGTGTATTTATACATCTTCAATTTTTATTTTACAAAATTAAATCCAAATTTTGTTTTGCTTAATTTAAATGATAGCGGGCACTCTATTGTCTAGTTAATATTTTGCTTGATTTCTCGTGGAATCAACACACCAACATATTACATATTGACTTATATACTTGCAGTAAAACATTTTTGTGTGCATCAAAATGACAACTATCAGTACATATAAGCTACCACCAAAAAGCCTCTTTATCTAGGGACTTTTCACTTGATCTTGTAGGCTACTAAGGGTGAAAGTAGGCTAGGCTTAATTAGGCTTTGGCTAAATAGGCTTGAGCTTATATGATAAATCAGATATCTGTGCCTGGCCTGAAACTTGTATGAGACTATTTTCATGTGGCTCAAGCCTGAAAGCTTATTTAAAGTAAGGCTTTTAAATAGGCTTTTATTTTAGTTTTAAATGTCTCAAATATACTTTAGGACTATTATAATATATAATATATAACCTAATTTATCAATTACAATATATAATAATTGAAAGAACTTACCAACTATAATATAATATAACAATAAAGTAACAACATTAAGATTAATAAATAAGTTTAATATGATTGAAAATATTACTAGAAATAAAAAAAAGAATAGATTGATTAAAAATCAAATGGTGAAATTAATGTGTTTGTAATATATTACCTAACATATATATATATATATATATTATAAATAGGCCGGCTTGTTAAGCTTATAGGTTAGGCCTAAAAAAAATAGGCTTGGCCTATTTAACTAAATAGATTTAATTAAAAGTTTGAGTTTATTTAGTAAGTAAGTTAAGTTAGGTTTAAAATAGGTTAGGTTGTAGCCCCTCCTATCAAGGGCTTAATCTATTCACACCTCTATAGGCTGTATCTTTATGTGAAAGCTTCTCCTTTCTTAATAATAAATATTTTGAAAGTTTACATTCATATATTGATAAAAAGTAAATACTTATTTTTTAAAATAAAGATTTGAAATCAAAATACTTTATATTTAACTACTATTTTCATTATTTATTTAATAAATGTGTAGACACTGCACTTTTTTCGATAATAAAGTTAATTGAATCGATGCCTGATGCTTTTATATCATCTCTTGTTTTTTACTTAATGCCTAATTCTTTATTCCCTTTTTTAGTAAAAGAATACCAAACAAATAGAGATATAATCAGCTCCAAGTGGAAGAAATCATCATTACATTGGAATTAACAATATAAAGATTGGTGTTTCAAGATGAAAGATTCGTTAAATTTCCAGGAGCTTCATTGTTTTTGAAATAATTTTATTAATTGCAATAATTTTAATTTTCCTTCATTTTAACATAATCAACTGATAAATCTTCAAACCAACCAGAAAGAACTACTTTTATTCCTAAATCTTATTGTTTTACATTTGTCTCTGTTCTATCCATCTCTTTTAGGAGGGCATTGTAAGCACAGTGATATGATTTAAATGCTTACATTGATGATTATCCTACTTTTTTATGTTGTCCTAAGTAAGTATAATATAAGTGTATGCTCTCCATGCATCACATGAGAGAGCAAATGCTAGTTCATCAGTTCAATACTAAAAATCTCAATCATATTTCTATTAGTAACTTTTTGTTTTAACAAAAAGGGCTATTTTATTGATATCAAAAAAATATTACATTCACTTATATTCAAAGCAATAAAGGAAAGCAATAAACCTAAAGTACAACCTATTAGAAAGAAAACAGTAAACACCTGGGATACAACTTACCAAAACGAAACACAAAAAAAGACAAAACAAGGTGACCAATTAACCTACACCTGTCTTGTTCAGCTCTTCAATCATCCCCTCGGGTTCTTCAACCTGAAGCTTGCCTTTATCCACCAAATCATCCACCAAAAACACAGATAAAAAAGTTGGTGCTGTGTCAGCCACCCATTAGGCCACAACTTCTTTGCACAAGAGGCTGCAATTAAATCAGCAGCTCTATTCCCAAGTCGTGAGACCAGAGAAGAAGGAGCAAAAGGCTTAGATCCAGCAAGCACAAGCATTTCAGATAGCAAAGCTCCATGAATCCACACGCAACCTGCACAAGAACCAGAAGCTAAAATATTAAAGAGCACTTCACAATCAGTCCCTATACAGACGCTGCTCCCAAATCTGTCACAGATTAACAAGGCTTCTCTTACAGCCAAGCACTCAGTCATGAAGGCAGAGGATGCATCAACAGCTTTCCCAAAACATCCAAGAAAAATCACCAGATGAGTCTCGGCATATCAGACCCACACCAGCATTCCCATTCTTCCTAAAAGAACCATCCACATTTATTTTTATACTGCCAACCCCCGGAGCTATCCATTTAATCTTTCTTTCACACTTCCCCTTAACCTTCTTTCGAACTCCCATCATCAAACTCGTAGCACCCCACCATTCCCCAACCAATCTGTGCGCCATAAAAATAACTTTCTCAGGTTTTACCATATCAGCATTGAAGACAAAGTCACACCTCATTTTCCAAATCTCCTAACACATCACAGCAACAAGGGATTTAGAAAAGTCAGGTATGTCAGAATTATTAAGCAACAATTCCTCACACCATCTTCCAATATTACTAAGCTTTCTAACATCAATAACAAGAGACAACGAGCATCCAAACCAACACCTCCTAGCCCAACCACACCCCAAAAATAAATGCTCACTATTCTCCTCCTCTAATCCACATATAAGACACAGAGGATCTCTTGCACACTTTTTACGAAACAAAGCATACCTAGTAGCTAGTGCGTTATTCAATAACCTGCACATAAAATGCTTTATCTTCGGTGGAACATTCATATCCCAGACTACCTTCCACAGTACATTAGGCACCTGATAAGAGCAACCAGGCCTGTCTGTCCCAATTCTTTTTTCATCCATACGGGCAATATAATAACCTGACTTGACCACATATACTCCATCCCTTGTATGCTTCCAACCCAGCTTGTCCTCCAACACCACCTTAGGAATAAGCATATTCCTAATTAGAGCACAACTATCCTCATCCACCAAATTTCTAATAGAATCAAGATTCCAAATCCCATTACAAATCTAAGTCTGAGACTTTCAGCTTCTTTAAATCATCATTAACCTCAGTATCAGGAACCAATTTTCCTTCCAGCCCCGATACCCAAAAGTCATTCCAGACATTGATACGCTCCCCGTTTCCAACCCTCCATTTCAAGGCTTTAAGAAGCAAATCACGCCCTTAACAATACTTGACCACCCCTCTAAACACTCTATTTTATTCAGATATTTTTTTTAAAAAATAATAATAAAATTAACAAAAAAAATCAAATTTTAAGATAAGAAAATCTTTAATTAATAGGATTCAATTTTATAGTCTTTTAGTTAGGATTTTATTTCTTTTAATTCATTAAAATAATTAAAAAAATATAAAAATATAAAAATAAAATTTAATTTCTTTTAGGATTATATTTTTAAAAAATATATAATAATAATAATAAAAAAAGATAAATAAACTAGTCTTCAAAATCAATTTTAAAAAAATAAAAAAAATTACTTAAATCTTAAAAAATCTCTCTCAAATTATCTCAACAATTTAAAGATTAGGAGAATCTATTTTTGAGGATTCAACTATTTTAAATTTTTCTCTTTAAATCTTATTATTTTTTATTTAATATATATATATATATATTTAAAATTAAATTTTTCTTTTTCTCTCTTAATCTAATTAATTAAAAAACATTAAAAAAATAAAATAATGAACGGCTGGATGAAACTCTGATGGTGATGGGGGCGCAGAGAAAAAAGGGGCCAAAGGTGAAAGTGCACACTCGGACACAAAGAAGATACAAAAGCAGAGACTACCAGCCAAAAATGCAGAGCAAGAGAGAGCAGACGCAAACACTGGCCACATGTAGATGAAAACTCAAAGAAAAGAAGAAGGAGACGTGCACGGCAAGAGGAAGATGCAGCTTCAGCGATAAAACAGAGCGCTCATGCAAAGATCAAAGAAGGAGGAAAACCAGGTATTTTGCTTCTACTTTAAGGACCGAAAGCCTAGAACTCGGAGGACTAGAGGGAGTCGAATCTAGGAATCGAGAGAACTGGAGAAAGAGACTGGAGCGAGAGTGGGAGAGAGATCCAAAAAGGGTGAAACGTAGAGTCTGAGAAGGGGATCGAGGATGAGAGGGAACTGAGAAGGGGCTTTGAGCAAGAGAGATTTGGAAGAGAGACCAAAAGGGAACTAAGAAGAGAAAAAGGTGATATGGGTTTGAGAGACTTTAGGTACGACGACGGATTCAACTACCACAAGGAAACAGATTACAATGCTTTTTTAAGTAGGCATTTCCCAAACGGTATAGATTTGTACTTGGACAATGTTGAAGGGAAGATGCTTGAAGCTGTACTAAACCACGTGAACAAGTACGCACACATTCCTCTCTCCGAAATGGTATCTCAATACAATAAGGTGTGGACAGAAAGAGAAGGGGTGAGGAATCTATTGAACATGGTGGATAAGGAAGTGAGGATGGAAGGTTTCATGGTTCTATCTCATTTGCATCGTTTCGGAGAGTTTACTACAGCAATGGAAGGATACATGAAACAAGGCAAAGGTGAAGTCCAAGAATAAAATTAACTTCAGGATCGAGAGCTTCTTAGAGAGCATCGCCTCCGTATTCTCAAGCTCTAATCATGGCAAACGGGTTATTCAGAATCATTGACGGATGAATGGAGAAAAAGTAAGGATTCGATTTCAATGTTTTGTTTTGAGGTGGAGTCATGAGAATTAAAATTATGTTGTTAATGAAATGAGGCCCAACGCAAATTGGTTCTAAATGGCTTTGAACATAAGGCGTGCATTAGAGTATTTTATTTTATAGTTATTATATATTAGCTTGGTCTTCATGTTATTCATACCACTTCATCAATCTAGAATTGCTTCCAAAAAGTAAGCCATTTTCGTATAGGCATGAAATTTCAAATTTACATGTTATGCACATTTGGTAAAGCTTAATGTGGTCATATTAATATCAGAATTTGTATTTACTCTTCACACCACTCTTTTAAAGTTCACCTTGTGAGATTTTAAAAATCTCCATAAGCATTTTGAATGATCTCATATCGTATAAATCAATAAGGTTTCGTAAGTATAGGGATCAAACTTGTATATATTAATAGGGTTCCAATGGCCCATTATTTAAATTAATTCTTTTTCTTTTTAAATTTTAAAAATCAATAAAATATTTAACAGTATTGTATGAGATTTAAGGAATCTCCGCAAATGCCCAGATTAATTGCCTTATTGTGGGAGATAATAAATCTTCACAGATATCGCGCATCTTAATTTATGTAATAAATAAACAAATTTTGTAAATAAAATTATAAATTTTTTTATAAAAGTAATTAATTAAATTAAGGTAATAAATCTTTTGGTCATATGAGATTTTTGAATATCTATAAACCTCTAGAATAATTATCTTATCGTGTAAGTCAATAAGACTTCGTAGATATAGCAATTAAGATTTCTATGTTTAAAAATATAAATCGTATAATTACGCATTAAAACAGACCTGTAATTGCCTTAAACTTCCTTGGCCTGAATGGCCATAGTCCTTCTAAGAAGTTGGCCGCGGAGGGTTGCCTCCGCATAGCTAGTTAGCAGGCTGAGGTCTCGTTTGTTAACAGAATTAACCAGACAAATCGCTCCACCCACTAAGAACGACTATGCACCACCACTCATAGAATCAAGAAAAAGCTCTCAGTCTGTTAATCCTTATTATGTCTGGACCTGGTAAGTTTTCCCATGTTGAGTCAAATTAAGCCGTAGGCTCTACTCCTAGTGGTGCCTTTCTATCAATTCCTTTAAGTTTCAGCCTTGCAACCATACTCCCCCTGGAACCCAAAAACTTTGATTTCTCATAAGGTGCCAGTAGAGTCTTAAAGGCAACATCCGCTAACCCTTGGTTGGCATCGTTTATGGTTAAGACTAAGATGGTATCTAATCATCTTCAAACCCCCAACTTTCATTCTTGATTAATGAAAATATCCTTGGCAAATGCTTTCGCAGTTGTTCATCTTTCATAAATTCAAGAATTTCACCTCTGACTATAAAATATGAATACCCCTAACTGTCCTTGTTAATCATTACTCCAATCCTGAAGGCCAACACAATAGGATCAGAATCCTATAATGTTATCCAATGCAAATGTATCCAAAGCGTAGTGTCACGGGGCTAGTCTTTCGACCCATGCGGCACTTAGACAATCTTCGCTGGAAGTTGCTAAGTAAGCCTAACTTGTATGAAAGGAGGATGTTTGGCTAAGTTGAGGAAAGGGAAAGCTTGAGGGCAAAGGATACTTGGAAGAGAGCTTGGAAAATGTGAGAGTAGTATTGCTTTGAGAACTCAAGGGTTGTGTGTTACAAATGAGGAGGGGGTGAGGTATTTATAGGCCTCCCCCTTGGATCTAGATATTTCCTACCTCCTTAATGGATGGTGGAGATTGAATTGATCCTACGGTTACAAATGATTCTCTAGAATCCTCTCCTAGATATTTACAATAAATATCTAGATATTTACATGGAAAGATTTAGTAGCAAATATTAAAATATTGAGGCTAGAGTTGTGTAGACTTCTCTAGAATGTTCTTGCACTCTCTAACACTCTTAAGCTTGTCCGGGAGCTTCTGGAGGGTTCTGGAACATTTCGAAGCTCCTTAATCTCATGAAAAATGATGAATCGTGACATTCTCCACCACTTAATTTCACGGTGCCCTCGTCACGCCTTCCTCCTTATAATGTTAGATTTGGTTGGTGAACTGCCACTGGAGGTCTTCACATTCCCAACTAGCTTCAGAGTCTAGTTGACCCTTCCACTTGATTAAGTACTCGGTGTAGTTGGGAACACCTCTCTTTCTAATCACCCTATCAGCAAGGATTTCTTCTATCTCCTTATCGTACTCGGTGACGATTGCTGTCGGTGCTCTCTTCGAGATACCTTGAGATGGATCTTCTTCATCTCTGCAGTATTTCTTCAAGAGACTAACATGGACGACAGGATGAATCTTAAGCTTGGGAGGGAGTTATACATGGTACGCAACCTTTCCCACACGTTTGACGATAGGGAAAGGGCCTTCATATCTCCTGACCAAGCCTTTGTGGATCTTGCATAGTGACTTGAATTGATTCGACAATAACTTGACCATGACCAAGTCACCAACTTGAAACTCAATGGGGCGGCACTTTTTATCTGCCCACTTCTTCATTTTACGGGAGGCTTTATCTAGGCATGCACGAATAATGTCAGCTTTCCCTTGCCATTCTTTAGTAAACTTATACACAGCTGGATTGTCTCCCTTATATGGCATGGCAAGGGCATTGGGGTTTAGAGGTTGTTGCCCGGTAACTATCTCAAAAGGGCTCTTACCTGTCAACTTGCTTCGCTGCAAGTTGTAAGAGAATTGGGCCACATCAAGCAACTTGGCCCAATCTCATTGATGAGTGCTCACATAGTGCTGAAGGTAGAGCTCTAACAAAACGTTGATCCGCTCTGTTTGTCTATCGCTCTGAGGATGAAAGCTTGTTGAGAAGTTCAAGTCTGTCCCCAAGATCTTAAAAAGTTCTCTCCAGAATTTCCCGATGAATTGGGGATCTCAATCACTAACGAGGCTGTGAGGGATCCCCCATAGCTTCACGACATGCTTGAAAAACAAGCATACCGCTTCATTAACTTTGCAATTTGCTGCGGTTGGTATAAAGGTGGCATATTTGCTGAATCTATCAACTACTACCATGATGCTCCCACATCCTTCAGACTTAGGGAGAGCAACTATGAAATCCATTGAAACACTCTCCCATGGTCTCTTAGCCACCAGTAGAGGTTCGAGCAGACCAATAGGATGTTGTTGTTCAACTTTGTTGTGCTGGCATACTAAGTAAGTCCTCACATATGCTTTAACATCGTCTTGCATATGTGGCCAGTAAATGTCATTTTGTACAAGAGTAAGTGTTCTAGTCATACCTGAATGTTCAGTCCACATTGAATCATGGCACTCTTTTAGGACATCCCTTCAAAGGTTACCCCATTTCGGCACATATACTCGGTTCCTAGAGTATTCCATCATTCACCTAGAATCTTCGAGTCTTGCCTTTTGCTGCAAGCTTTACTAAGTCACTTGTAGTTGAGTCTTGAGACATACCTTCCTTGATTCGTTCAAGGAAGTCATTTTGGGGCATGCTTGCTGAGAGAGTGGCTAACTCGGCTTTTCTGCTTAATGCATCCGCCACCACGTTTGCTTTGCTTGGCTTATACTCTAATCGATAATCAAACTCAGCAAGAAAGTCTTGCTAACGAGCTTGTTTTGGATTGAGCTTTTTCTGTGTTTAGAAGTAGCTCGTAGCGATGTTGTCTATGATTATAGTGAACTTACTCCCAAGTAAGTAGTGGCGCCAGGTTCGGAGACAATGGATGATGGTAGTCATCTCTTTTTCTTGTATCGTGTAGCGCCTCTCTGTGTCATTTAGCTTGTAGCTCTTGTACGCAATAGGGTGCCTTTCTTGCATTAACACACCCCTATTGCAAAGTCTGAGGCATTGGTGTGTACCTCAAATGGCTTGGAATAGTCAGGCAAGGACATGATAGGCTCTTGCACGACCATCTGCTTCAGCTTTTCAAAACCATCTTGGAAATCTTGTGACCATTGCCAAGACTTATTCTTCTTGAGCAAATCTGTTAATGGAGCAGTGATGGTTAAATACCCCTTGATGAACTGGCGATAGTAGTTTACCAGACTAAGGAATGATCTTAACTCTAGGACCTTGGTAGGAGGTTTCCATTCTTGAATGGTTTAAACCTTAGTTGGGTCCATCATGAGCTTCCCATCCTTGATCTTATGCCCCAAGAAGTCCACCTCTTGTTTGGTAAAAGAACATTTTTCTAGCTTAATGTAAAGTTTGTGATCAGAGAGTACCTGGAAGACTTTCTTCAAGTGTTGAGCATGCTCTTTAAGAGTCTTGCTGTACACCATGATGTCATCCAAGTATACCACCACGAACTAGTCTAAGTAAGGGTGGAACAACTTGTTTATGAGCGTGCAGAATGTTGCTGGGGCATTCGTTAGTCCAAAGGGCATGACCAGGAATTTGAATGCTCCATATCCTATCACGCAGGTTGTCTTCGGCTTGTCACTTGAGGTGATACGTATTTGATAGTACCCTGATCGAAGATCAAGCTTAGAGAAGCACCTGGCCTTTCTAAGCTGATCAAACAAGTCAGCGATCAAAGGTATTGAGTACTTGTTCTTGATTGTGATCTTGTTCAAGGCCCTGTAGTCGATACACATTCGTAGCAAACCATCCTTCTTCTTTTGGAAGAGGACTGGAGCACCATATGGCGCCTTGGATGGTTGGATGTACCCAGAATCAAGGAGATCTTAGAGTTGTCTCCTTAATTCAACAAGTTCTGGAGGTGACATATGGCAAGGTGCCAAGGCAGGTGGTTTGGCACCAGGCTCCAACTCGATTTGATGATCTACCTCTCTTCTAGGAGGTAGTTTCTTAAGCAACTCATCTGGCATGATGTGCTTGTACTCCCATAGAACCTCTTAGATGCAAGTGGGCAAGGTTTCTCGTAGA